GTGGAATGTTCTGAAGTTACCATTGCGTGGGAGTCTTCCAGTTCCAGCAAAGACAGATCCAAGTCTTTCTTTAAAGTCTCAAACAAAGCAGTGCCTCTAGTTAGCGTCACACCTCCAGGAAATGTTGATGATATGGGCTGTTAAGAGTTAGAGGACGCAGAGGCCGTGACTTTTAGGATTGTTGTTTGGCCACAGCAGCTGCCTTTTTCATGCTGACACAGAATATAAAGAGTAAATCATTGATGGCGGTCGGACCTGGTGTTCGCACAATAGAGAGAAGCGCTTCACAGTGATTTAATGTCGTTACAGTATAAGGGCGTTAAGCACATAAACTGTCTGCGAAGTTTTAAAAATGAGCCTATTTCATAAAAAGCATAAAAGCTAGCGCAGTTTTATGAGGTAATAAAATGGGTGAAGTGTCTCAACTTTGCAGTGAGATAATGAAGTTATGTTTTTGGTTCAGAAGACACGAGGTACTAAACTTCAAATCAAAGAGATGGGTTTCGAAAATGTGTCCCTTGAAGGAACCAAAACGCACTCACAATGTTTCGATAAACTTGTGTATAATTAAATTTTTTTCCACAGACAAAGTTAAAGATAGTTAAAGATAGCAAGTATAAGAGCTAGACTAATATATGCCCATGGACCATTATGGAACCTACCTGGAACACTGAGGGATTACACACATGTAAGACCACATGGGAATAGAAAAGAAAGTACCGTATTTTTCAGACTATAAGTTAGACTTTTTTTCATGGTTTGGGTGGTCCTTCAACTTATATATTAAAATGTTCACACTGACAGCCGCAGGAGGGCGCTCTAGGCTTATGTGTCAGTATCTGCTACTCCTATTACTCCTGTACCACTGTCACTTCACTCTACTGTGCATGTCTCCTGCAGAAAGAGCCTCTGTCCTGTCTGTATCATGTCAGTCGATCACACCATTACTTCTGCACCACTAAAAATTTTAAATTTAAGTCACTTCAGGGATGACCGAAACCATCCTGTCGGGATTCAGAAAGGCCTGAATGATTCTAACTGGAACTGATGCTGAGTCTGACAACGGCGACACAGAAGAGGAAGCGGCGCTCCATTTACCTCCATATTATTTAATTATTTTAATAGATTCATGGTTTACCTCTTGAGGTCGCAGAGTTGCTCAGAAGTGACACAGAGGACGAAGAATTCGATGGATTTGGAGTGAGATGGAGAGTTTGATAAACTTGTTCTGTTTTGTTGTTTATGTTATAGTTATCTGAAGAACTGTTCATATGTGACATTAACAGTTGTTCTCTGTTCTATTGTTATTACTAGAACTTGACTTTCAACATGAAATGTCAGTTTCTGGTCTCTGATTTTATAAAAATAAATTTCCTCCAAAAAGTGCGACTTATGTTTTTTTTCTTCTTCATTATGTATTTTTTGGCTGGTGTGACTCATACTCCAGAGTGACTTAAAGTCCAGAAAAATAGAGTACTATGATTTTATGTTGGAAATCAGATTCTATTGTCTATAAAACTAGTGATTTTTATTATCATTGTGGTATCAAAATCGGTATTGAGTATTGAGCCTATTCCTTGGTATGGAAGTTTGAAATTTTAGTATTTAGAATCAACACTAAAGGATTTCCCCAGTACAAATATATTGTATAAGCAACTCTTGACATCAAAATAAGTCTGGTGTGTACTGTTTGCATCTAATTCTAGTCTTTTATTGTCTGAGAATCAGGAAGTGCATGTTAGGAAGCTAGCTTTACCATTAACAGCAAAAATTGACTCTGAAAGTTGTGAAAAGTGCTTATAAACTTATAACTTATAACCACTGCAAACTGTTTAAAATGAACTAGTTCTGTTTTTGACATTTTTAAAGACAGTAAATATCAGGTACAGTGCTGTTAACCTCTGCCATGTTTTTTTCTTCATGCGAATGCTCAAGTGAGTATAGGGTTTCTTGTGTTATCAGCTGGTCTTCCTTCCTTCTTTGATACAGATAAGTTTGGTTCACTTATTAACAGCTTATCTCTAGACTCTAAAAAGGAGACACTATGGATTATACCAGTGTTTGTAAAATGTGTACCCTATCACACGCTTTTTATGATACGTGCGTTTGACAGACTTTGACGATTTGGTAATTTCTACTTAAGTTGATGGGATAATACATTTTGTAATATATAGGGATGTAACAATAACCAAAATATCGTGATATTGTATCATCAAAAGTCTCACAATAATATCGTGGACCTTCACAATATATCGAATTACAAATCTCTTTGCTTAACTTCATAGTTTTGGTGCAGCAAAAAAACACAGAGGCGACTACATAGACCATAATGCTTTGCTCTGTTTAAGTGAAGACTAAATGAAGAAATAACTGCTAATAACAGTTCTTTGGATGATGACAGAACCAAAGTCTTGTGAAGGTATTTAAAAAGAAAAAGCAGCATATTCACAGTTTTGTTAGCCTTCACAAAAGATCGCAATAAATATCGTACTGTGAGATGCATATTGTGAAAATATCGTACCGAGAAATCTGGATATCGTTACATCCCTAGTAATATATATAAATTAAAAGTTTTACATCAAGAAGCAGTTTACAAAGAAAATTTTAACAAATGCTGAAAATTGCAAGTAGTCATTTTCTATTTTTTCATCATTTACGAATAAGAAACAATTTTTTCTGATACTTTAAACATTATTTTAACAAAATACTGTTTGAAATGGTAATCAGATCAGAAAGTGGAGACATATTTAGATTTTAAATTGCTTTTGACAGATTAATACATTTTTCTAATTACTGCTTACTGGTGCGATTACGTCAGTCACTTTTACGTCAGTTAAGTGTCAATTTGTGAAAAAAGTAGAAAACAAAAACTAGGAGGGAGCAGTTAGTTCTAAAAACGGAATCCCTCTACCAGTGTCATCAAATATAATCAATGCCATCCAAAATCTAAGTCCAATTTCCGCACAAGGAAGACATTTCTCTGACAGTTTACAAGTTGATTTAACAAAATAAAGGTGTTGTCATTTATTTTTATTTCTCAAATTATAACTGTTGTATAATTTAGACAAGTTTTGGCCCTTTTTAGTATGTCATATCTGCTGTGTCCAACCAAGAAGTCAAATGATAAACTAGGAAAGACTAGGCAAGAGTTTTAGTCAAATCGCAATTAAAAATCATGTGAACTATGTTTTCGAAAAATATGTAGTCCAACCTGTCACTTTAAATAGAAGCTCTTCTGGTTTACTGGTTTACACCGAGCCAAAGTCTGCAGATTCATATCAGAAGTGGAAGTCATTGCACAGAATTAATCCCATTTACCTCACATCTGTAGCCAGCAAAATCAGTGCGGGACGTGGCATATTTTCATATCGAGATTTGGCCAAACCAAAACAAACCACAAGAGGACACCCCGAAATAACTACTTCAAATTGGAAAATATTTAAAAGGCAACATGTTTTAACTTCGAGCTCTGGCCACCATGTCTCTAATGTTTCTGTATTATGGTTCAGCACTGGTAAGGTATATTATAAGTACATTTTTTATTACTACTTATTTTTCTATTTTATTTTGCCTTGTACATACACAATTATATGATTATTCCTTTTTTGTCACCTGTCCTTTGCTATATTTTTGGCTTCTTATTTAGAATTTAGTATTACCATTTATATTTTTTTAAATCTTTGTTGTTATAATACATTGTGATATGTGAGCTGTGTTCAAAAAAAACTTCTCTTGTGGATCAATAAAGTTAGTCTAAGTCTAAGTTTACAGGCTCCTTATGGTTCTTTTTTCAAATGGAGAGGTGATAACATGTTGTCTCATTTTCCATAACTGATACTTTTACAACACTGTAGAGTAAAAGTGAGGGAAATGTGAAATAAACTACCGTAGTAATTTTTAATGTAAGTAATAAACATCATTAATAGAGAAAAAAACATTTGTTATATCAGTGGTTGAAATTGAAAACCTTCAGATTTCTTCAAATGTGTCTGACCTATAATGTGGGTTGTGTCCATGTAGATAGATATCTTTAACGCCCTACTGTGGGACATTGTGGACAAGGCAATAACATCTCTATGGAGACCAGCAGATCACAGAAATTCCACTGGAAATGTTGCATAGTAATAGCCTGATTCATCAGCCGGTTTCCACGAAGTGAAACGATAGGCGAGTACTTTTTTATTTAACCAGTTGCTGTTATTTGGTCATGATGTATGTAAAGCACTGGAATGCTTGCAGGCACAAAAGCAAACAAAGCAGAGAGTGAACATGTCTGTCAACAATCATTGTTGTTTCTGTGAGGTGAACTTGCAAATTAAAGGTGCAATAAAAAATGCAAAGTCTGTATCGTCCACATCCATCTCGACCGCTTTGTTTATTGTTGTGCTCTAGCACAAAAGGGCCAGACAGGTGCGACGAGTTTGACGTCATGGCTTCACAGCTCACAGCTGATTGGCTAGTGTGCGGTCTACAACTTCCTGGGTTCTTGCAAACCTAGTCTAGTGTATTCTACTGTATTCCAATTCCTGACCTAGTCGCTTGAGAGAAATGAAACTGAGCGGAGGCACTTGGTGGCGCTGGCCTGGCTAGCATAGTACAGCTTTAAGGGTCCTATATAACGGGAAATTGACTCTTGTGAGCTTTAAGCCATGTTAGAGTGTTACTACTGGAGTTGTGTTTTGTTTCATTCACACATGTTTGAATAATCCTATATTATTAGTTTGCCTACATCTCCTCTGTTCCAACTTATGATGTCAGGTAGTCGTAGTCTTTGAGGGAAGAATTCAACCTAATTATGCAGGGTTTGTGTGTTAAACATGTGTGATTGAAACAAAACACAGCTCCAGGTCTGTTTGTGGTGAGGAAACATCAAAACATAGATCAAAAAATAGTGAAATATAGACCCTATAAGGTTCACCAAGCTCAATCCTTTTCTCCTATTTATGTGTTTTAATATAACTTGAGAGATTGTCATTTGTGTGTGCAGACGGGACACTCACCAGCTTGATGGCCACATATTCGTTAGTGTACAGATTTTTCCCGAGGCGGAGCTCCCCAAAATTCCCACATCCGATTTTCTTTCCAACGCGGAAGTTTGGTCCGACCATGAGCACTCCGGAGTTGGTCCCTGAACTGCGCCCCCCATGTCCAGTCCTGCTGCCTGCCGTCTTTGACATCTTTTTGCTTTCCTCGGTATCTCCTTTGCCCCCTTTTTTATCAAAATCCATAAGCTTGTGATACCCTGGCCTCTCCACGATTATTTTCCAGCCATGCAAACAATAAAAACTCCAATTACACCAGAAAAGTAGTAAAAGGGGCTAGAGAAAGTCAAAGTATTTTCAATTAAAAGACACCTGTACGAGTTAAGTGTCTTCCCACTAATTTCCTTGAAGACTATTACAAATTTCCAAATCCTAGGTGCTAGATTTCCATGTTGGGAGCAGGGAGGTGGGTAGCCAGTGCAGGGATGTTAGCACAGATGTATTATTAGCTGTTGAAGTGCACTCCGCGAGCCAGCTACTGCGTCCACAAGGCCACTCGGAAACATCTCCCGGAGTGCGGTGTCCCTCTGGTCAGCCTTCAGTGAGGGACGGAACGGGCGCCATGTTTAGGACCTCCAGTGATGAGGTGATCCTGGACGACTGCAGCAGGGTAAAGGTAGAAGGCTGGTGTGGGTTTCTGGATCTGTGAAGTGCAGAAAAAAAGAAAAGTGTATTAGGTTATATAGAAAAAACAGGTAAAATTAAAATTGAAATGATCAGATTGAAAGGTAAGCGATATTGATAAAATTGATAATCCTGCTGACAATATTCAAATATTATGTCAAAACTGAAATCTGATAAAAGATGTTTATGAATGGATTTAGTTGAGGTTTAAAAATCAAATTAGCCCAATTACCTACAAAACAGTGGAAATACAGCCATATACTTTTATTTGGAGGCTAACAAATAATCAGCTCTTACTGCAGCGTATTACCATTCACGATGCCATGAATTTTAACAGCACTTCCTTTCACCGTCACTAGGGAGTAAAGATTTTTTTTCATGGCTGATGCCGATTCTCATTGTTTAGAATCCACAGCAACTGAGGGCCGATAAGATCTGCCAATATATAAGGCCAATTTTAATTATTTTCCTCAAATTGTGTAATTATGTATTTAAATTTACTACAAACTCACAGGCAGCCCTTTTTAACCGCAAACCTGTAAGAGAGCTGTGTAGTCAGGTTTTGTGCAGTTGTCTCTTTGTATGTAAGTGTTTAAAATAAATTTAAATGCATTTTTATTATTTATTTATTATTAAGTATTTTTCAGGAAGGAAAAAAACAGCAACAACAACACAGCCTGTACTAGAGATTTAAGGATGATAAAAGGCCAAATATCAGCACGATATATCGGCCAACCAATATATCGTTTGTATGTAAGTGTTTAAAATAAATTTAAATGCATTTTTATTATTTATTTATTATTAAGTATTTTTCAGGAAGGAAAAAAACAGCAACAATAACACAGCCTGTACTAGAGATTTAAGGATGATAAAAGGCCAAATATCAGCACGATATATCGGCCAACCAATATATCGGTCTATCTCTAATTGGGGTGTGCAAAAATATCGGAATATCGATATATCATATTGTTTAATGTGATGATGCAATATCGAAATCGTGGGCGGCTGTCAAGAGTATTTTGCCAAGAGTAATTTTTGGTATATTTTACTAAATTCTTTTGTTACAGAGCTACAGTTTTGTTGCTTGTTTAGTGGAAGCAAACTCGTTTATGTAACACATTTGACATTTCACTGTTTTGATGAGTATGTTTCATATTCACTTTGCACAAGAAGTGGTTTAACAAAGACTTTTAGTATCACAGCCATGATTAACCATTATTTTTTCCTGAACTGTATCGAATTGATTTGAAATATATCGTATCGAGTTAAAAGTGCACTGTGTTGAGATATGTATCATATCATGGCTTATGTATCGAGGAATGAATCATATCGGCAACTTTTTAATGACACCCAGCCCTAATCTCTGAAACATTTTGAAGTTTGTCAATAAAAAGTCATACAATTTTACATTAAGGCTGATGAGTGATAAGTCAAAATAATAACCTCAGTGTAAGATGGAGAACTTGGAGCAATATAAGTCTTGCAATAATGATTACTGTGTTAGCCAACATTGCATCTAATTCTAGGCATTATTGTGCAGCCCTGTTTTACACTGCCAATAATCTGTGCTTTCTTTCCCCCACATGAGCCAGTGTAACCCGTCTCTCTGGTCTCTCTGGTGGTCTGGAGCAGATAGGAGTACAGTCCAGTCTCAGTGATGGACAGTCTCTATGGAAAGACACTTACACGGATCAATGCCCACTGTAATGCCTCATCCCATCATATCGTACCACCCCATTGGAGTACTATTATAGGAGGACTTTGGAGCATCAAGTGAACAGCCAGTTGAGTTGTAACATGTCGCGTCAATAGCATTTCAAAACTCGTCTACGTCATTTCCTTCACTAGTAACTTCCCATATGCGTTTGTTGACATAGTCCATAAATGGAAAAATGATTAACCAATATTTTCTTATCGACTTGGTTATGCAAAGATGTAAACTTTTGCTGTCAGCTTGAAAGCACTACTTTAATCATTATATGGATTCTACAGTGGTTCTCACACTTTGATGCGTGAGTTTAGGACTGAAAGATAAAAATAAATCACAATTTGAATAGTTGCAACATAATTTCCCCTGTCATTTCTATCTTATTATGCAAAAAAATGTTAACTCTGCATTTTAGAAGTCTATAAACATGTTAGGAAATGCATGGGATTCTTGTATTAGTTTTGGCGTTCAGATTTCAGTCTTTTATCAAATATTAAAGCTCTAGGGTGTATTTAACATGTGAATTTTGAACAGAACCCAAATGTCAAACATAAATCACAATGGTGTAAGAGAGACTGCAATATATTTTCCAAAACTGTTTATCTCTACGCAAGCATCTACCGGTAATAGGCATATATCTTGTCCTCTTTTTAAGTTAGTCCTTAGTCACTAGTATAACAATGGTGTAGTCGTTTTTTAGACATGTTTTTTCCCCATTTTAGACCTATTATAGTCCTGTTTAAGACTTGGTTTAGATCTGGTGGTACTTGGTGTGAAAGGTTTGAGAACCACTTATGAGAGATTTCCATTATATACACCAGCCATGTTAGTCTAATAATAAATATATGTAGCGCGCGTTTGTCAAAGGTCAACAGACAGAAATTACCGGTAGTTTACATACACATTGTTCAGTATAGTTTGTGTGTTGTAATTAGTTGGCAGATGTTCTCCAAAACAGACCCGGCTGTCTCAGGTAACTGCACACTGACAAATATCAGCGCTGTCATGTTACAGGAAGTAGTTTCTGTTAAGATCAGCTGTTAGTGATACACAACACACACGCTAAATAGCCTCTAAGTGCTCTAAACTGAATTTCACTACGATTATTTCAAGATAAACTCAATGGTTCATTCATCAATCAAACAAGCTGGTTTATAAAATCAGTCCAAGAATGCTGAAATGTAACCCACTATAACTTAAGTGTAAAATAACAAAACTCTGATTTATGATTTTCTTTATCTAATAAACAGACATCATACTCTTACATGCACCTAGTCGACTTGTTATTTCCTTTTGGTGGATGGCAGTACAAAATAATTGATAAGTGGCGCTGACTCAATGCGAGCTTATGATTGAACACAGTAAAAGCTACTCAGTAATAGAGTTTATCATTTCAGATATCAAGTACAAGGTTTTAAGTAAATATGCCTGTTAAATGCCTCGTCTGGATATGTGTATTTTATGTAAACAGCAAAACATTTCCATTCTGCCTGAGCAAATGGTGGTGATACGTGTCTGCATAAAAGCGGAGGATTGACACGAGCTGGTCTCACAGACAAGGCCAGATCTCTTTAACATTTTATGAACGTCTTTCTCATTGTTATAACATGGCATTACACGCGTTATATTTGATTCTACCATTGGCATTCATTCTGTTTAACGCGATTTAGCAAACCGAAAAGCAGTGTCAGTAAACGGAGCTAACTCACTCAGCTAGCATTCACTTATCAAAAACACCGAATCTCCGAGGCCTGACGAAATCAACAAAAAGGTTTACAAAAATAAGATACACTATTAGATAACATCTCAATTACAGCTTTTAGACAGCTTAGCCTTTATCAAACCGATGCAAACTGACCGAGGCAAAACGGGACGGAGCATAAAATATTCATTGATCGACAGCGTCCAAGCTACATGAACCCAAATGCTTAATAACTGCTAAATAACACACATCTCCGGAGTTGTAACATATGTCATCAAAAGGATTGATAGTATCGTATATAAAAAGTTATTATTTCACCTGAATGCGCCGCTTAGACCTCAGATTGCAGCTATATCGTTAGCCATTATCCTCAATAAGGTGGCCACTGCCGGGCAACTCCTTAATCCTAAACAACCCACTGCACAGCCTGGGCTCCTTTAGCGCTTAGCTTCAGTTTAGCCACCGACACTACCCGATCTGTGCCACAAGTAATCTACGCATGCGCGACTCGTTCTGCTATCTTGATACGGCAATCGTACCTGGACAAACAACATTATATCACCGTTTCATGTACTGCCATTTGGTTTAAATAGAAGTATGAACATCTACTTTTAATGTTAACACCCAAAGGCAAACGATAAGCCAACCAACACTAATAGATGATTGACATTTTAATAGATTTTCAGTAACATTATAGCGAAACAAGGGTGGTTTTAGCAGCCATCTGTAAAAGCGTCTCTTTTATGTGGGCAGAATAACATCAACCAAGTTCCTGGGAATTTCTGGTAGATATGTTAGTCCAGTAGCGTTATTTCATTCCTGACGCAGATCGGGTAGTATCATTTTAGCGGCAGAAGCTAGCACACGAAACGATAGAAACAAACGAAGCCAATGAGTGAGCATGAATACGGTTCCAAAAGTCTTCTGTCACAAATAAAAGGCGTATTACCTTTAACTGTAGGTCATCCGAAGATGGTCGTGTCATAAATCCTTGATCGCGTGAATATTTTTCATCTCTGTAATCCTCCAGTAGCTCTGATTTTGCTGTTGTCTCTTTAAGCCGCTCCGCTGCCGATGGTGGCCAGGTACAGCGTCACTGAGCGTCACTACGCACTTTACGCAGCACAACTCACGTAACTAGTATTTAGAGAATATCACTAAACGTACCGCTGAAAAGGCTTTATTATAATGTTTTTATAATTCCAGATAATAAAGAACCGTTGGATTAACTTAATTATAAAAGCCATTGAGCACTTGATAAGAAACTGCATGGCTACTTAAGCATGACAAATTAGGCAACATAAATTCTTAAAATAGGCCCTAAATGAATAACAATATTATACAGACGAATTATAATAATAATTGAAATGTAATTTTATATTATGTTTGTTTTAATTTTTTATACCACATATTTTTCCCCAGAATCAATAACAAACAAACTGATGAAAGACATGTGCCTACATGTTGCGGAAAGCACGGTTGTAAAATTCTAATAAGTTAATTTCTGTGCTTTATTTTATGTTATGCAGTATGTATGTGTATTGATGTGCCTATACCATATACAACATTACAACATAATACAACATTTAGAGGCAAATCAAAACAGGCGTCATAGAGGCTTTGACAAAATGTACTGAAGCTCACTAGTAGTGAAATGTGAAATGAATCATCAGAACAACCACTGTTTCAATGAATTATATGCTGAAAATAGTCATTTCATAAAAGTGAGTCATCACAAAATGATCAGTCATGAACTATTGCCCTATAACCTTTAATATTTATTTCAAAATTCAGCCTACAGGAACTGGCAAAACAAAGCTGGCAATAATAAGAATCAGTACAAACAAGATTTTTACAATAGAAAAAACAATCAATCAATAACAAAGTGTCTCACAGTGTTTCTAAGCAAAAACTTTACAATGTATTTGACACATTCATGTACTTTGATGCATAATTAGCCTAGAAGTTAGTTCCTCTGCGCTCATAATTGGAGTCCATTATTGAAGCCACAGCACAGCCCTTATTTGACAGATGTTTGAGGTTACAGCCCCAGGTGAGGGTAGGCCTTGTTAGCTGAGGGAGTGTGAATGGAAAAGCTACAGTTTTTAGTGATGGATGACAGTGAAGGCCCCAAGGCGGACCTCTGGGGATGCACAAAGGGCCACAACATCGGGGGCAGGGGCAGCTCTGCTCTCAGCATTCCTCCAACAGACAACTGCTGGGGAGGTGAGTGTCTGAAACCAGCAAACTGTGGAGAGAAATGCAGTCCAAGATAATGATTTTCAGAGTCCAAAGAAGGCAGAACTTTGTGTATATTGTTTATATTTGAGGAGCGAGGAGGAGAAAGGGGTCTGTGCATATTTGAGGGAGAAGTAGTGGTAGTTTCTTGTTCTTCTACAGGAGCCATTTTGCTGGGTTGGGAAGGTGCTTCATCCAAACTGAGATCATTGGAGAGAGGAGAGGACTTCTGGCCCTTACGGAACTTGGCTCTTCTGTTTTTGAACCAAACCTAAAAATATAAGTTTAAAATTAGATAAAAAGCTGCTGACATGTGAAAATATTATGCATCAAAGTATTAGTAAATTATAAGTTAACTAGAAAAAAAAAGTAGTAATAGGAATGATTTGTAATAGGACAAAAATAGTATGATTAGGGAACCACAATGTGCAGCAAAAATAGAAAAACTTTTAGAATTTTTAGGATGAAAAATAATCTATAATGTTAAGTCTATAAAGCCCTTTACAAACAGTGCACATGAGTCTCAGAGTTATCTGTGTAAGTATAGCAAATAACAATAGTTCAGTTTGTATAGGCTTATCAGTCATATGTGTTTAAGTTATCTTTTTGGCCAATTCTATTTAAAATACATTATACATTATTGAGGTTAACTGAATCCTGCTCTCTGTGACATTGTGACTAAACAGAAACAAGAAATGTGCTTCTAAGTTAAAGACAGTGCTATATTTATATATGTATGCAAGTTGATCATTATCTGATTTCCAAGGATATCAGATTACTGAAATGTAAACATGTAACCTGATTTCTTTCTGGTTGCTCACACCCGTACAAGTTTTGATAAGGAAAAGGGAAAACAAGCATGACAAAGACAAAAATTAAAAGTCCTATAATACACAAAACTGAGCCTGGTGAGTTTTAAGACATGTTAGAATGTTGAATGTGACCTCATCAAACACAGACCTGGAGTTGTGTTTTGTTTTATTCACACATTTGACCACCATTCCACCTTGTGATGTCATGTAGTGGTAGTTTTCAAGTTAAAAGCTGCCTATTACCTTTAGTTCTGTAGAGTATACATGTACTACATGTATTACCACACGACATCACAAGTTGGAACAGACATCACAAGATGAATTTAACTAATTGTTTATGGAACAAACCATTCTGCACTGGAGCACTGTAACACTTTATTTTGTAATTGTGTTTTTTTATACACATTTATTGTACATAATGTGGATGAAAGAAATGTGCAATGTGGGACCTGCCTGTCAAATCTGCAAAACAAATTTACCTTCAGGTACGCATAAAGCAACCTAACCTAACCTAAAAGCTATATATATATATATATATATATATATATATATATATATATATATATATATATATATATATATATATATATATATATATATATATATATATACACACACACACACACACACACACACACATATCAAAAACAGGTAGTTTTTCTCTCAAGCTGAAAACACTCTTAGGTTTTATATATATATATATATATATATATATATATATATATATATATATATATATATATATATATATATATATACACCAAAAATCAGATATAGTCTTTGGGCTGTTATTATTATCAGATTATTTTTACTGGTCAATGTTAGACTTAGATAAACTTTATTGATCCATAAGGGAAATTATCTGGACACAGTAACTCACACCTCACAATATAATATAATAACAAAGAGTAAAAATAAAAATGGTAATAACAAATTCTAAATAAGTTGCAAAAATGGCAAGAGACTGATGTCAAATAAGGCATAATTATATAAATGTGTATATACAAGTAAAAATAAAAATATAGTAATATAAACACAGTATATAAATGTACCCACTGTTGATGTTTTTAAATGCATATATTGTAGTATATACCTGGATGCGGGCCTCAGGCAGGTTGGTGCAGAGGGCCAGCTTCTCTCTCATGCTCACGTCCGGATACTGAGTCTGAGTGAAGGCCGTTTCCAGAGCCTGAAGCTGCGATACAGAGAAGGCGGTACGACTGCGCCTCTGCTTCTGTGGGCTGCCGTACCTCGCCTCCAGGAGCAGCTCTGAGCAAATACAAAGAGAGAAATTGGGATTATAAAACACATTATAATCAGTGGTGGAAAGTCATGAAGTACAAAAGTAAAAAATGTAGGCCTCTATACTTTACTTAAAGGTGCACTTTATAATTTTTTTGGTCACCTGTTTGTTTCTATGGATATGTCATTGCTCTGCCTGGAATGTTCCACAGTATGACATTAAATAGGTGGTGTTAAATGTCTTTTCCCCCTGTACTTTTACTTAAATAACAAAACTGAGTACTTCATCCACCACTGACTGTAATAAACCTGAAGTATGATGGAGTGGCAGTGCTTACAGCAGGGCTCAACTCAAAGGTGTGTAGTGTCGCTGGTCAGAAGGGCTGGTGGCGCGGATTGGCAGCCTCACTTCTGTCAGTCTGCCCCAAGGCACCACCACAGAGAGAGTAAATGAATACAGACTCCAGGGCTTTGAGAGGCTGCGAAAACCAGTTAAGCACTATAATCCAACTGCACAACATAGTCTGCATTCTAATAACTGTCTCATCTCAATTAATCCTTCTGGAAATTTAGAATTAAAGATGCACTTTGTAACCTTTTTGGTGGAGGCTCCAGTAGCAGATCCCACCCAAAAAGTGAAATATTGTGGCTACTGTAGGGATTAACAATAGCAAGGTGTCCACATGTCCCTATTTACCCGGGACAGTTCCAGTTTTGAGCCCTGTGTCCCCTGTCCCTGCAGATTTATACAAAATCACTGATTTGTCCCAGTTTTATTCAAGAAATGTCCCAGGTGTTCCTATTTTGCACAAATTTGATGCCTGGCAACACATTTGTTGAGGTAAACTACAGAAAAGCTGCTTAAAATCAGCAGAACACAGAGAAGATGTCGCTGCACTCACTCACGTGTTCGTCATAAATTGATGGGAACAATTTTCCTTATTTATGCCCTCGTTTCACAATTTTATTTTTACCAACAACCACCACAAACCGGTGATGTCCCAGTCTTTTGGTCATCCTAAACAATAGACATATCAATTACATTTGGGCTGCTTCTTGTACTGGCAAAACAACCCAAACATTTTGACCCAAGAGTCCCTTCCTTAGTGAATTTCGGTGAAGACGGTCTGCTCTGTCTGTGTTATTGTAGGCCAAACAAAGATATGCTCAAAATAAACCTATTTCTGTCCCATTCAGTGCGTAATTTGCTCCGTGTGAGTCGTGACCTACCAGCCAGCCTCTCCGCCACAGACAGCGTGTGCGCGCCGGGCCTCTGCGCTGCGGGGTAAACATGGTGCTGCTGCGCCACCTGCTGGTGAAGGTCAAACAACATGGCGTTGACCGCGTGGAGGGGGAGGGCTGCGGCGCTGGAGTCACTGCAGAAACCCAGCGCGTTCATGGTGACCTGAGGGGAAAGTTTTAATGTGAGTCTGTTCGCTGCATTACATTATTTATGATGCTAAAAAAGTGCCAAGGGTAATAGACCAGCCAGCTAAGGTCACTTTTAATATATATCCTCCAGGCCTCACGTGCATCAAGTAGAGCTACTGCACCACTGTCATGACACATTTGCAGCAACAGCATACAGACAATCAATTGGCTGTTAATAATAGCTTAATAATCACGTTAGACCTGTATAATTGTATGAGATTTTAAAGATCTGTCTGTTTTAAGCCCTTGCTGAAAAAAGATCAGGGGCTGAGTTGGTGCTAATTTAAAAGAACCACATCCTTTTGAAGACCAAGTTTAAAGATCGCAATTCCTTCCATGGTCCATCAGATAGTAAAGTGAGTTATGCGTTCATCCTTTACAAAGAAAATGCAGGATGAATGCTGCTTTGGAGTTACTCGGTGTCTTTTTTATAAGTTCAGTGCCTTGACTCCAAAGCCTCTCTAAATTCTGCAGTAACATATGGCCTTGGTGAGTCCATTCTACTCTGCCCCTTTAACTTGGTGAGCAGAAGTTTCAGCAACAACAAGATTAAAGGAAGGCTAATTGTTGTCCATTTAATGCCCTCTCTTCATTTCCAACAAAGCATTAGCTAGTAAACACAGGCCTGGTATTAAAACTGTGTATTTTTGAGTACATGTAAAGTTGTACAGTTTCAACATTAGCAGCGTACAGTATCTAATAACATTGACTAATGCTTCTTTAAGCTTCCAGAATTGTTTTTTGACTTGTTGTAACCAAACATACTGCAGTACTTTGGTAGTAGCAGAAGCAGAGACATTTGTAGTAGTAAAAGTAGCAGGACTAGTTGTAGTTGTTGCAGTATTAGTATCTAATATGTTGACTAATGTTACTTTAAAAGGGTTTTGACATTTTGCAACCATACATGACACCAATACATGTTTAAAGTACCTGTTTACATAAAAGTAGATGCAGTAGTAGTAGTGGCAGTATAGATGCAGTATTAGTATTAGTATCTTATAGTACTGACTAATGTTTCTATTAAAAGTTTTTGACTCTTTGTAACCATACACAATACATGCTTAAGTACCTGTTTACCTGTAATCTTGGTAGTAGCAGAAATAGTTGCAGCAGTAGTAGTGTTAGTAGAAGTAGCAGTACAAGCAGTTATTGCAATATCAGTATTAATAGTACTGACTAATGTTTCTATTAAAAGTGTTTGACTCTTTGTAACCGTACACAATACATGCTTAAGCACCTGTTTACTTGTAGAGTTGGTAGTACCAGAAATAGTAGTAGTAGTACTAGAAGTAGCAGTACTTGTAGTTGTTGCTGTATGTAATAGTATTGACTAATGTTCTTGTTTAAGTTTGTCATTTTTTTGGGCTCTTTATAACCATGCATACACAATACATGTTTAAGTACATGTTTACCTGCAGTGTTGGTAGCTGAAGTAGATGCAGTAGTAGACACAGTAGCTGTAGTAGTAGTCGCAGTAGTAGTGGCAGTAGCACTAGTAGTTGTAGTTGCAGTAGTAGTAACCTCCAGTAATTTCCTGCTTGTCCTTAAGCCTTATCCCAGCAACCCGAGCTCTTTGTGGTGGATCTAATTCTCTGCTGCATATTCTCACCCAACTCTTTAAGTAGCGTTTGCCCAGACTCCCTGTCCCATTAGCCAATAGAAAGAAAGGTATTAGCTGGGATTATGGGATGAGGGGAGAGAGGGGGGATGCGAGCAGCTCAAGTTTTTTTCAAACTATTGAACTTGAGAGATTTATGCCACAGATCCCCCTACAAGGCGCCGTTTCATTCGTCCCTGTTAAAACAATTAGGACAATGTGGTGCCTAATCTCCCAGGCAGGACGGATTCAAATAGCACTGAGCGATTGTGCTCCTGTCTCCCATACAACCCAAGGGGACTTCACTGAGGGCCTGTATTTGATAACAGTGGACATATTTTACCCATGCACTGCCATTATATGAAGTTAATCTATGTATTCATGGGTTTTTAATGTGGAGTTTTCAGAGAGGAGACAAGTGGCTTTATTTTCAGATTACAGTGTTTAGTGGACATTTCTATGTTATAGTGACATTAATAATAGACACCACAAGGCAAACGCTCTGGAATATACACTATTAGAAAATTCGATGACAGCGAAATGGTGGAGAGGAGGTGGAAAGTAATTCTAGAAGACAGAAGCAGATTTAGGAGTACATTCTCCAGGCAATTGGATTTTTTTAAATAGATTTCAAAACATGTACTTGTAATTGAGTATAACTCCAGCCACGTAAGTAGTAGTAGTAGTACCAACAATAGTAGCTATAGTAATTGTAGGAGTAGTAGTATTATTAGTGCTAGGAGAGCAGTAGTAGTAGTAGTAGTAGTAGTAGTAGTAGTAGTAGTAGTAGTAGTAGTAGTAGTAGTAGTAGTAGTAGTATTGCGTTAACTGCTACAGGTGGATTCCAACAAACAAACTTTATCAGGATCCCATAAAAATAAGTCTATGTTCAGCTCGTCTCATCACCTCAACCTCTGGGTAGTATTTGGGTTGTAGTTGTAGATACCAGTAAGCAAGTAGTAGCAGCAATAGAAGTACCAACAGTAGTAGCAGTAGTTATAGCAGCAGTATACTTACTATAGTTAGTAGTAGTAGCAGTAGTAGTAGTAGTAGTAGTAGTAGCAGTAATAGTAGCCGTGGAAGTGCCAGCATTAGCAGCAGTATCAGCAGTAGTTGTAGCAATATTATTAATGGTAAAAGAATAACGGTAGCAGTAGTAATAGTAGTAGTTGCAATAGTAGTAGTAGTTTATAGTAATAGTAGTAATAGTCATAGTAATAGTAATGGTAGTAGTTGTTGTTGTGGTTGTAATGATAGTGGTAGTAGTAGCAACACCATCAATAGCAGAATCATAGTACCTGTAGTAATAGTAGTTTCAGTTGTAATATTAGTTTTAGTAGCAACAGTAGTGGTGGTAGCACCAGTGGTAGTAGTTGTTTTGTAGTAATAATAGTAGTTGTAGCAGTAGCATTAATAGTAGAATCATAGTAGCAGTAGTACAGTAATAGTAGTTTCAGTAGTAGCAGTAGTAGTAGTAGTAGTAGTAGTAGTAGTAGTAGTAGTAGTAGTAGCTGTAGTAGTAACAGTAATAGTAGTTTCAGTAGTAGTAGTAGTTGTTATAGTAATAATAGTAGTTGTAGTAGTAACATTAATAGTAGAGTCATAGTAACAGTAGTAATAGTGGTTTCAGTAGTAGTAGTAGTAGAAGCTGTAGTCGTAACAGTAGTGGTAGTAGTAGCAGCAGTAGTAGTAGTCGTAGTAGTTGTTATTGTAGTAATAATAGTAGTTGTAGAAGTAGCATTAATAGAAGAATCATAGCAATAGTAATAGTAATTTCAGTAGTAGCAGTCATTGTAGTAATAATAGTAGTTGTAGCAGTACCATTAAGAGTAGAATCATAGTAGCAGTAGTAATAGTAGTTTCAGTAGTAGTAGTAGTAGTTGTTGTAGTAGTAGTAACAGTAGTGGTAGTAGCACCATTAGTAGTAGTTGTTGTTTTTGTAGTAATAATAGTAATTGTAGCAGTATCATTAATAGTAGAGTCATAATAGCAGTAGTAATAGTACTTTCAATAGCAGTAGTAATAGTAATTTCAGTAGTAGCAGTAATAGTAGTTTCAGTAGTAGTAGTAGTAATAGAAGTTGTAGTAGTAACAGTAGTGATAGTAGCACTAGTAGTAGTAATAGTAGTTGTTGTAGTAATAATAGTAGTTGTAGTAGTAGCATTAACAGTAGAGTCATAGTAGCAGTAGTAGTAGTAGTTTCAGTAGTAGTAGTTCTAGTAGTAACAGTAGTGGTAGTAGCAGTAGTAGTTGTTGTTGTTATTGTTGTAGTAGTAGTAGTACCTCACATGTCCCTAACTTAACCTTGAACTTGTGGTACTTCCTCACTGCTCATTTTCTCTAAACTTTGAGCTTGTGTGAAAATGTTTGCTCTGTCTTTACCCTCCTCCTTTTTCAGCCCCGGCCTGTCAAACTTTATTAGCCTCCCATAGAAATAAGTCATTTAAAAGCGCTCGGTCGGCACCCTCTCAGCCTACCCACTGCTCCAGGATTTGCTCCCTTAGGCCTTTGTCTCCGCGGTCTGTTGGATTAGAGGAGATTTACTGCAAGGAGAGAGAAAAGTACTTATTTCATGGCACTTTCATGATGAGACCTGGGCAAAGCTGTGTTGGCTGGGGGGATTATAGGAATACAAAGAGTGCAGTTGTATGTGACCCTCCCCAGCTCGAAGGCGCCCCTATGCCCCCCGCTCTGGATCGTTTAGCTCACCGCGGGACAGGGCAAAGCGGGCACCTCTCGCCCATCAGTACGCCCAGGGTAAAGCTGTAATGGACCTCTGTTTAGCGAGAGTGGCAGAGATAGTTAGGAGTTTTTTGAACATCACTATTCTTGTCACTATAATTACTATATCCACTTATTGTTCAGTTAATGTTCAATCATTTTATGGGTCAGTATTTATCATGGGTACTTGTTCGTTGTCGTAGTGGGGAACTTTAAGTATGTTTAAACAGCAACAAGTGGAGTTTTATAATTGACTCTCACAGAATATATTTTTACATTTTCTCGGGGTTTATATGAGTCCAGTCTGTTCTAGAGTTAATTTTACATTTTTGGAAATGTTATAATTAAGTAACACTGGATCAAAGTTCCTGTTTAACCCTGAAATCAAGAGTTATATTCATATTTTGAGAGTAAACAGATAACACTTTTTAGGGTTATTCTGATTTAGCTAAACAAGACACAGAGGTGTTTTATTTTTACACTTTATTTTAGTTCATTTAAGATTAAATTATGTACAAAACTGGTTCAAACTGGTCTTCTTTCACGGGAGGTTGAAGGGGTGGTTGGGAGGTGCCAAATTAACACTAAGGGAAATTGAATGAACACTAGTGGAAGTTGAATGAACACTAGAGGAAGTTGAATTAACACTA